CCGTCACCGGCCGACGGTGCTGGGAGCTGCACACGGGATGGCTTCGTGCTCCAGGAGCCAAAATCTTCTGCTGATCCAAATGTTTCTCCAGGAAAGGCAGACTCTAAGCCCAGCAGCGCACACTCGGGCCAGGAGAACTGGGCCACCTCCACCTCGGCCGCAGCTGTACCCTCACCACATCTACCTGAAGGTCGCTCCGGAGTGAAGGGTGCTTGTCACGGATGTTCCTGACATCCCTAAGCTGCGGCCTCGCTCTCACCTTTAGGGGGCTTTGCCTGCAAAACGAACAGGGGCATCTTAGTGTACTAGGGACAAGGGGCCAGCCCAGGCAGTTGGTCCTGTGCTGCTCTGCTCAGTCCCGTGCAATTGGACTCGTTGTTTGAGATCCCCACACCACTTTGGATTTGAGATCGGGCACTAGGAACAACTTTTTTCCCCCCAGTAGGACAGAGCAGCCCTGGGACAGTTCACCAGGAGCTGAGGGATCTCTGTCCTCAGACGTTTCCAAGACCTGGCCAGGCACAGCCAAAGATGGCCCCAGGGAGGGCTGGCAGCTCTGCTGCTCTGCGGGGGCCCCCTGGCTCCCCACTTCCCCAGGACTGGGCAGTGCCAAAGCAGGGACCACGCACGGCAGGAAAACCTGTCACCGAACCGCAGCGTCAGGGCACGCGCTGGAGAGCTGCCCCGCTCCGCACAGAGCTTGGCCAGATTCAGTCCCAAGGAGGGTGGACGAATGTGGAGCTGGTTCCCAAGGTAAAGTCCCCCTGGGGACTCCTTGTTGTCGAACCGTAGTGGAGGTGGTGCAGCTTCCCCTGCAGCCGGGGCACCAGCTGGGCTCCTCTGCCCCTCAGCCACCTCTGGTCACTGCCCTTGTAAGAGTTTAATCTCGCTTGGGTTCAGTTCAGACCAGCCACCAAGCCCGAGAGGTGGAGATTAAGAACAACTCCACCGGGGTTTTCTCAGATCTTGTGAATCGAGTTTTAGCCAACGGGCAGAAAATAAATCCACTCACAAAACTTCTCTCCAACCTCAGCTCTCCAAAGCGGCCCCATCCTTACCTCCTCGAACTTCTCTCTCCAATAGAAATCAGCCTTCGCATCCAGGTAGAGCAGCACCAGGTCACAGACCACCGTGGCCTGGGGACAGACGAGCACAGCAGGGCAGTCAGCAGTGCACCCTCCTGCAGGAGCACCAGCCCCTCTGCCCCCTGCACCCACCGAGCCCTGCAGCGGGCCACGGGCCAACCTCCAGTGCCTGGGCAGCTCCTGCCTCTGGCCCAGGCCACCCAGGCAGCTCCACCAGGTCCTCTCTGACCCCAGCTGGTCCCATTAGCTGCACAGGATGTTAGATGTGATCATCTGGGCTGCGATGCATGGATGTAAGGTCAGGGCTGGTCCAGCAGAGACCCGCTGTCACAGGCATGTAAGGGACTGGGAGGAGCACATCAGGGAGGAAAGGGGAGGCAGGTGGGGGAGTCAGTGACTCTGCTGAAGAGGAAGTGCCACAGAAATGCCCTACAAGGGGCTGCCCCATCTCAATGGCCGCAAACCACGTCCGTGCTGGAGCCAGACACCACCTCCCTCGAGAGACAGGGCAGAAACACAGAGTGGAGGTGCTCTGTCCTGCTGGCTGAGACAGCTAGAGCAGACCAGCCAGCAACACCCAGCGATGCACCTGCCCAGGGTCAGCAAAAACACCTGGTCTCCATGAGATGTGCCCCTGCCAGCGCTCAGGATGCTTGATCTGGCAGTGTCTTACTGCTGATGATGAAAAATGGGAGTTAACACCCTGCCAGCCCATCTCCCCGCCCAGCTGGCAGCACCCAGGAAGCCTTGTGCCCAGGCAGGCAGGGGAAAACACAGTCGAGAGGCAAATCCCAACCCACGGTTTGGAGGAAAAGAGCGTATCTGGAGTACTCACAGCACCGAAGAATGCGATGCCAGTGCCGAAGCTAATATGCTGACCTTCCCGGCCTGGTGATAAACAGTGGGTGGAGGGGGAAGACAGAGAGCGGTGAGAGGGCTGTGGGACGAGCCCCGCTGGGCGGCGTGCTTAAAGCCAGCTGTCTGGGGAAAGGGGAGATGCTGGAGGAAACCACGGTCATTTCTCTGTGCCCAGCTGGAGGAACCCGGCTGCTATTGCCTTGACTCAAAACCCCTTTGGCTGCCAAAGAAGGGGCTGAGGCAGCTCCTGACTCGGCTGCAGCAGAGGTTACTGCGACCCACCAACTCCTGCAGGCACCCCCCGCGGCTGCGGGGCCCCAGGAGCTGCCACCCACGGAACTGCAGCCCAGCGAACAGCACACACGGCCCCTTCTGCTTTGGTATCGCTGAGGGAAGGGATGGATTCCCATCTCTCTCCTGGCTATTCTCTCCTGCTCCACACCCCCAGACCTGGTCTCACCACCCCGAAGTCGCGCACCCTGTTCTGCACTGTGTGCTTCACCCTGTCCAGGTGAAAAGGCCACTGCTAAGCACAACAGATCAGTTATGGACATCTCTTGGGTGACAAGTCCTCTCAGCAGAGGCCCCATCTTGCACAGCTGAGTATTGAGTTTGTCAGTGACCCTGCACGCAGAGTAGTGTCAGCCCTGATCATGCCCATGCCTTTCTCCCCAGGGGTACAACTAATCAAGAAGGAATTGTCCAGGTTCAGGAAAGTTCAGGTTGATCTTTGCCGGGGTGTTCCCACCATGAGACCCTCAGAGATGCTGACAGCCCCTCTGCCCAGACAAGCTCACCTTGCCTACAGGGCCCAGCATCTCACAACACCCATGTCAGATCCTCAGCAAGGGAAGCCTCCCTGCTCAGGGCATTACCAAGCAGTTTCTCTTCAAATGAGAGAGATCGTTTTTCCCTGCTCTGCTTGGAAAACTCT